TTGGCTCAAGCTGAGTGATGAAGCGAGTACAGGGAGCAGCAGAATGTTCTCATGGTAAGAACAAGACACTGCAGCGTTCTCCCTAAGCAGCCCCGCGCTTAGAAGCACTACCCACGCTCTCAGTGACCAGTGGGCCACGGCTTCTACACTGTGCAGACAATGAGAGATGGCCTGTGAGGCCGGGCTTCAGAAACACACCGCAGCGGACAGCAGCACCATGGCTTATGGGAAAGACATCTTCAAGTATGTAAACCCATTAGTGAAGGGTGAATGGCTGGTTGATCATTGGTTGGTTGGTTGGATGGTCAGTCAGTCAGTCAGTTGGCTGGCTAGCTGACTGGTTGATCAGTTGGTGTTTGGTTAATTGGTAGATCAGTTGGTCAATTGGTTGGCTGGCTGGCTGGCTGAATGGTTGATCGATTGGTTGGTTGACTGGCTGGCTGGCTGGTTAGTTAATGGGTTGGTTGGTTGATGGGATGGTTGGTTGGCTGGACCGATGGCTGGTTGGTTGGTTTGTACTTTTATTCTGATACAGGATTTTAATCAGTAGTTCAAGTTGGCTCGGAATTCACTACACAGCTCAGTCTGGCTTAGAGCTCAATAACTCCTCCTTCAGCCTCCCAAGAGATCCCACACTCATCCAGAAATGAATTTCTTCAATATATGCTGCCTGGCCAAGCGTATGTCAATCATAAACTGGGGAAGGAAGAGGTAACCTTCCTCTTGGAGGAAGAGTATTGGAGGTTAGAGAATATCCCTTTGTGTGTGGCTAGCAGGCACTTTTCATCTCACAAAAAACCAAAAAAGATATAAAAATGGCCACTCACAAGAAGGCGAAAAAACACATTACACCTCTACAGTGCTAACATGCTACCTTGGTAGGCATCTTGTGTGAAGATATACAGACACAAACACTAGGGGGTATTTTAACTCATTCAGCTTCCACAACTCAAGGTTTGCACACATCTGTCCAGTGATCTAAAATGCCTAAACCTCATAATTAAAAAATGTTAACTTCATTTGTTTGAGAGTGGTGAAAAACACTGAGATACCACTGTCCTCTAAATCTTTTGATTTACATAATAGCAAAAGAGTATATTTTAATTCCAAAGATAAACAAGGTTCACTAGACAAGAAAACAACTTATAAATGTCACTACAGATTAAAATTCTAAACCCATATTTAAAAGGGAAAAGAAAAGCCTTTTACTAAATGAATAATCTTTAAGTAAACACTTTGCTAGGTTTAAGTTAAAACACAAAAAATTAAAAAGTGGGAAAGGGTGGAGCTAACATTGAAAAAGAGTATCCTCTATATAGTAGCAGAACAAAATTTTAAGCAAAAAAATATGTTCCGATCCTGTGTCAAGCTGGAATTTTTAATGAACTGAGCTCCAAGTGAGATAAAATAAAAGCAGCATGTTTGCCCCGAGTGTCTTGAGAACTCCCCCTCGCTGTGAGAGCAGGACCGAAGCTGGAGCTAGGCACACTGACTCAGCTAAGTACTTCCCTTGGAAAATTCTTCCCCAAAGTTATTTAGGGCAAAAAGAAAAACCATTTTTGAAGTGGGGTTAGCAGTGAAAATTACTTTACCTCAAGTATTGCTGGGCACTGCACACGCTGGACTGAGGCATGAGGAGAAAGTATGCAAAGAGCAAGTGGCTGTGCATGGGAGGACACGGCCTGGAGTCAGGGTGCCCAGCCCCACCTGTGTCGGGGAACAGGCCACACCCTCACCACACATGATGTCCCGCATGCTCCTGGCTAGCACACTGACCCTCCTCCATCAGCAGCTCTGACTGCGCTCGCCTGAAACACAAGGCTGAAGTCTGTTAGAAACCACGCTGATGTGAGTCAAACACTGCCTGCTCAGCTACAGTGAAAACTCAAGCTTTCCCAGTTTGTCCCTTAACCTTCAAGAATAAAGTCCTCACTATGCTCATTCCCCTTTCCCGAGTTTCTCGTCCTTCTTGTATGTTATGACAATGGGAAATCACACATGTGTCTGTACACACGTACAGACAAGTGCATGTACACTCGTACAACTCCGCAGGAATGGGATAGACATGGAAAAGCGCAACAGCAAGCGGAAGCCAGACACAGGGACAGAGAGTGCAATGGAGCTGGCCGCGGCTCACACGCTGAGTAACGCCAGAACTCTGAAACAAACACACAGGCCTTAACTCCAACTACTGTAAATTTTCCCAGGACTATGGCGTATGTCTTTAACAAGCAACACAAAATATTTATTGTGTCCTGGAAAATCTGAGAACCAAAGTTCTGATCAGTGTTCGGATTCCCAAACCACTGCTCAGATCACTTTGAAACAAAACCCACCAAGGTGACAAAACTCAAGTACCAGTCTTGAGAAGAGGGGCCCGGGCTCCTCCCCTGGCGACCGAGGCCACACCGGCATCCAACAACAGGATTCCAAGAGCATTCACTGAACAAGGAAAGAAGCTTTTCTGCTGCTAGTGCTCAGCAATCTCAGGCACCAGAGTCCAGGAAAGGCCTGGACTCTGCTCACTGCACTTTACTAAATCTTAAGGAAGAGGACCTTCAAAGTCAGCACGAAACTCAGCAGCCACTTTAGGAGAGTCGGAAGATGCAGTGTGCAGGGATTTCTCTTCGGATTTCTTCAGCTCTCTATGGTAATGGAAGTTTTGGTTTCTCTGTAAACTCAGATATGCTATATAAATTTGTTTTTGTTTTAATCCCAAGTGTTGGATTTTCGTTTATCCCCAGCCGTCAACTGTCCTGTGCAGGGCTTGGCTTTTGCCAGCAGGTAGTGGCCTCCCTCCTGCCTGGGGTATGGAGGGGCGTGCTCTAGGCTTCTGAGGATAGACATCTGAGAGCCCAGAAGAGAGGGGGGGCATGTGGTGTTGGCGTGTAGCATGTAGTAGTTTGGAGAGACTAGAGACAGACGGCGTGGCTCTCTGGAGGAGACAGACGGCGCGGCTCTCTGGAGGAGACAGACGGAGAGAAAGGCTTTAGGGCGCAGTGGTGAGGAGACGCTGCCTACATTTGCTGTTCATGGAGAATGAGAATGGTACATCCCCCAAAGACACATTGACCCTACCAGCCAGGAGAAGTAAACGGGTCTGCGGCCCCTCTCCCCACTCAGCTTCTCTCTCGGGGGATTGGGAGAGGCTTTAAGGAACCCCAACTAAAATAGTTTAAAAATGAGCACTCCAGACCTCCTGTGTCTCTCACCTTACCCGGTGAACTACTGAGAATCCAAGTGAAGAAGAGGGCTGGCTTTTAAACCAGAGCCCAGAAGCAGAAAAGGCTAGGACGGGGAAAAGGCTAAAACTCGCCTTCTCAGGTGAGCGTTTCTGAAGTTGGCAACAGAAGTCTGAACTGCCCTGCTTTGAGGAGTAAGAGAGTCATCAGTCCTAAGATAACGAAAGGATAGTCATGTGCAATGCTGGGAAACTGACAGGCCGAGCACAGCAGCCAGCATCTACTGAGGCTAACCACCAACCTGACAGGTTCCTTCAGTATATGCACAGTATCGATGAAAACCCTGAATGTCATGAGAGAAGCTGCTCCAAGGTCATGGGTCGACGGCAGTGTTGAGCTCTAATGTACACATGTCAGACTGGAAAACTCTGCTCCTGGGTTACCTGGTCTACCAGCAGGAGCACTTAGCCACACAGTACAAATTTTGGTCACTATAAAAATTCTTCAGGGCCAGTCCTCACTGGGCAGGCCTGGCGGAAGTGAGCACTAAGTGGTGGAGAGATGGGAGAGAAACAGAAGTGGAGTGGTTTGTGCACAGTGGAGCGAGGACGACTGAGAGGAAGAGCCTGAGGCCACGGTGACCTCCAGGCAGGTGGACAATGAGGGCCAGGGTGAGCTCCCACTGCAGCCAGGCTCTGTGTTGTTATCCATGGGCCATGGTACTGCAGAAGGCCGTGCTGAGGGCTGTGGTCCGTGCCTCAGCCGAAGCCATGCTGGTGTCACGGGGCTGCACTGAGCTGGCTCTGCTCCTCCCTGGTTGGGGCAGCAGTGACGTGGGTGCTGGAGTTGGTCCAACCCCTCACCTAGCCGGTGAGATAGCTAGCTCTGGTGGCGTGGGTGCAGGGGAGCGGCTGTGCTGACCAACTCAGATGGCACCCAGGCCAGATCCAGGGCTTTGGGCTGGCCCACCCACCACCTTCCCCTATGAGCTACTGGAGAGCATTGGTCCACAGCCCATGGTGGCAGGCTATCCATGACTCGGAGCAACAGCAGGGTATCCGAGAGTCTCCATGCGGGGCCAGTGTTGACAGAGAAGCCAGAAGAGGCCTTAAACTAGACTAATGACTCATGGCAATTTTAAAAAATAAGAGATTAATTTTTTCGAATTTATTTAATACCTTAATTTTTTTCCTATAAAAAAGTTAAGACCACATCAAAGGTAAAGGCAATCGTGGCAATTAATGAAATGACAGTGTACATTAGACTTCGCCTGCTGATGGTCTCAATTATTTTTGGAGTCTTACAAATGCGGCACAGTATCTAGCCTACTGTAATCGTGAGGACACTTTCAACAGATTTTGTTTTCCCCAAAAGAAGGTGCTGCGGTTTGGATTAACTGTTCCAGAAGGCTTGTAGGTTAAAATTTGATTTCCAAAGACTCCAGCTTCTGGAAAGTGACCGATTGTGGTGGCTCTATCCTTCTGGTGTTGGGGGAAGCAACAGAACGTGGGGGCAGGACCCAGCTGGAGGAAGTGGGGGCATGTCCTTCCAGGACTGCTTCTTTCCTCAGGCCTGGGCTGCCGTAAGGGGGACATCTGTCCTACACACGCTCCGTCTGGACTTTCAGCTTTATCCCGGAGCCCAGTCAGGAGTCAACAGACCAAAGCCACAAGCCAGGATCAACCCTTCCTCGCAGAGGGTGTGAGCCTCTGTCTGTGATGATGGCGAAGAGGGCCCACAGACACCACAGCCGTGTGAAAGGCTTACGGCCTGTGTACACTCCTCATGCCCCTGCGGTTTGCACACTTAGCACAGTACCTTATACTCATCCACAATAATGCTCAGCGCCTCGTGTCCAGCCTTCCTCATGTCTTCCAGTTCTTGTTTATGCTTTTCCTGAAAGGGAAGAAAAACAGAATCTACAGTTTTTCTTCACGTTTGTTTCAACTAGCAATAAACCACTAACCTCCCTTTACACCAGTGGCGAGCAGAACACTGAGTCTGCAGGTCGCAGAGAAAACTGGTTTATTGGCTTGTGTTTTAGAAAAAGGTCCATCTAAAGCATGCTCAAGCATAGGGCAAGGAGGCATTTGTAAGGTGGGTCTCTGAGTCTGAGGCCAGCCAGGAGGTCTTTGCAGTGAACGGCAGGCGAGTCGGGGCTGAAGAGCAAGACTCTAAAAAGCAATTGAGTGTTAGTTCCCAATAAATAGGGTTTTCTGTATAAAACTCACTAATACGTAGACTCTTAGGTCTTCCCTTGCTGCTTCTAAGGAAATAGGCCACCTTGATGACGCCCAGCAGCCCCACACCCCTTTTTTACGTACTCGTGGCCGGCTTCTGAATGGGGCAGGGACACCGCACAAGCGTTGCACATGGCACTTCGCCCAAACCCCAAGTCCCCCTGTGCTTCAGAGGCCGAGGCGAGGGGACTCAAAGCACAGCTACTGAGCACACGCATGTGTAAATGAGGGCTGCACACCTCGGACAACACCCAGCTACCGGGAGAAATTAAGTCACGGTTTACTCCTCAACGCCCAAGCCATAAACTATTTTTTCATCCACACTCCTCTGTGCTCTGCCACTGCCAAGCCTTCTAAAACCCACATGCATTTCTTCTCATAAATTGACCCAGGCAGAGCAGGGGCACTCTCTGCCACCCAGACGGTGCACAGCCATCCTTGGATTGACAGGTCAGTAAGGAACAAGAAAACAAAGAAACTGTGTGGGCCACTCAGACATGGCATTCAACCTAAGGCAACTGATCTCGGCTTCCAAATTCTTATTGCAAGACTCAGCCTAGAAATAGCCCACTGGAACTGAATTTGCTGACGTCATCTGGCTGAGACGATTTTAGAGTTGCAGGCTAAACCAGGACTCTCTGTAGCCACAGGTCAGGGCAACTATCAACTGGAGAAGGTGCACAAGCATGGCCAGACAGCCCAGAAGGAAACCAGAGCAGCAAGAGCTGGAAACAAAGACATCGGGGCAGAGCCAAAGCTCTGGAGAGGGTGCTCTGGTCTGTGGAGCCACACAGGCTGGCCTTCGGTAAGCCAGCACATGAAGGCTCACATCACATGCGTGCCTCCTGCCCAAGCCAAGAGATATGAGGCAACACCACCTCCATGCTTCCCATCAGCTGTGATTCAAGACTGCACTCAGCGTCTTTGCTTTTGAGACAGGGTCCCTCTTGCAGCCTCGGTTGACCTAGAACCTACAATGAAGTCCTCTGGGCTGCTCACAGTGGCACAGAAGCAGCTCAATTTTCTACATGCTAAGTTACAAAGGTTTCATTCAGACATGACAATGTCATATCCATTCTAAGCCAAAACTGTAAGGAATTAATGAATTAGCAAACGAGGAACAACAATGAAAACATCCACTCCATGAACTTCAGCCAAGGAACAGTCAAGTGGATGCCTCATCTCTCCCCTTAAGCCCATGCTCCTCTGCACATGTGCAGGCTCTAAGGTGTGAACAAGCTGCAGCCATGAGGACGTTGAGAGGAAACAAGCCTCCTATGAATGGACATCAGACTAGCACCATTTTTGGTGCTAAGTTCTCCAAAGGCAGATCCTTGGGAAGACAGGCTTACAGCTAATTTAACCCAAGCGGGAGTAGTGAATAGAAATGGAAATAAGAAAAGAGAGAAAGATACGGTAGGACTATGGGGGAAGGAATGAAGGAAGAAAAGAAGGGGAAGGGAGACGAGAAGGTGAGCAGGAAGGGGACGGAGTGGAATAGTCGTCATGATCTGAGGAAAGCTGAGCTTCCCAGTGCTGGACAGTCACCTCACTCTTCCTCCTAGGGGACCCGAGGGAAGGCTTCAGGCGGCAAACAGTGGAGCACACACTTGCAGGCAGAGACGGTGGCTCAATGGTAAAGTCTCCATTGGAGAAGCTTGAGACACGCCTTCACGCCCCAGTGCCCCTTACAACCTGGCTGTCCTGGAGAGTTCCCGAAGCCCCAGAGCTTCTGGACAACCAGTCTCAAAAGCCAAAGAGAAACGTGATGTAGGAAGACATCAGGCATCAACTTCCGCCCTGTACAAGCAGATGCACAGAAAAAATATCTATGCACACAATATGCCTGAAAACAGCAGAAACCCTGTTCTCCTCATTCTGGACACGTCTGGATAAACACTGTGCGGTTACTTGGCTTCTCCAGGGTGAGAACGCTCCCCACACCCGTGGGGCTTCAATCCCAGTGACAGCAGCACACACATGGCAGCTCCTGCAAACAGCTCTCTGTCTGCGATGAAGCAGCTGAGGAAGAAAATCCACTTCTTCAAGTCTTGGCCCCTGTCTGCTCAGGGGCTCAGCCCACAATGTCATCACCTGGCGTGGTGGGATTCGGCATTCTGAAACCCCACATCTGATGCTCACGGTGAGCTGACGTGACCACGCCTCCAAAGAGCCAGTTCTTGTACTACCGGTGCAACTCTGCCTGGATGGTAAGATGGGACCATCTTGGGTTTAGTGTGAACAAGGGAACACGAGACAGCGCCATCAGACTGGATGAAGACAAAGTGGAGAACAGGAACTAAGGGACACCCTGGAGAGGACACACCAATCGGCTACCAACTCCAAATAGTCAGGTATACAATAACACACATACAAGCAAAATCACAAGATTGAGTGGGTTGTATTTGTGTATTTAGGAACACATACATGCACAAGCACACACACAAACATGCACTAAATGTTTAATCTATGTAATGTTATAAAGATAGGAAGGAAATGTTCCAAATAATCATACCATCCTAATTTGCTCAAAAACTGCCTCTGGGTTGAACTAACATCCACCTGTAGAGGAAGGTGAGCTTGTGTTTCACTCACAAACAGACTCTGAGCCCTGAGCTCAGAACACAGCCCATAACTGCCAAGGTCCTGTGCTCCGCTCATGTGCAACTGCGGCCATTCTACTATCACTTCCCTTCAAAGAACAGAACATATTCCAGGGCCCACCTGACAACGGAGGCCCCTACTGCAGGCAGCCCTCTGCCTGCAGCGCATGACTCCTTCAGGGTGTCCCGGATGATGCTTCAGTTCCCAAATGTCTCCTTAGTTCCCAATGACGGTCAATCACGAATGGTAATTGTGAGCCATTTCATGTTACCGTGGGCTACGTTCTGAGAATGTGAAACAAAAAGCGTGGGGTTTCAGACTTAAGTATTCTCCCATCTAGAAGGAAGCGAGCCCCTGAACAGCAGGAATGGAACAAGGCTCGTAAGGCACTGGAGTCTGGCACAGTCTGAAGCCGTCGGACCCCAAGCCTGCAGTCTCACAGCTAATGGAGAACTCTGACCCCACTCCTGGATGGTGCCCAAACATGAAGGGCGACCAGAAGGCTTGCCGAGAGCAGTGAGCACTAACGAAGAGTTCAAGTCAGAGAAGAGGAATCACAGTCAGAGCCTTTGGCCTGGGCACCTGGCCAGGGGCGCCAGAATCCAGCCAGAGGGACAGCCACCCAGGATGGCCTCTTCCAGGGACAGGCGGGGCTCCCGTGAGTGCTCACGAGGGACCAGATAGGTTCTTGCAAGGAGCTGCAGTCTGGCTGGCCGCCACCCTCCAACGTCACTGTTCATATGCTCCACGGCTACAGAAACCAGCATCACTGTTAAGAAATACACAGTTGACAGAAAAGAGGCCTGGGAAATATCACAGGGCAAAGGGCAGCCCTTCTGTGTGCTTTCCATCCTTCCTGACAGGCACTGGGGTCATATCCTGCCTAAACATTCTGTCATTTCACTACCACCTCGACTTACTCCCCATTCTTTACATCACCACTGGACAGATCCTGGATCAGTTCCCCTAATCTATGACAATAGCTCTGACTACTGAACCCCCTCAAACTCATGCAAACAAATGTCTTTTCAAAAAGCAAAGGAAACACAACTTTGGCAGGTTCTAGTGTCTTCGTCTGCTTTGGCCCCTAAATGGTTCCCACCCCGTCACACCCCACATGGACATACAGAAGACAGCCTCACTACTGACGTGCGCTTTCCAAACAGGGTACACCACGCCAGGGCCTGCTGCTGGCTGTGCCCCTGCCCCTGCCAGGGGCTCCTTGCCTGAGGCCCAGAAGCTGCGGACACTCCTCCCAGCTGGGAGCTACTCTCTCCCAGCCGCCTTCACGAGCCGCACATCACCCTCTCACACACGTGAGCTCAAGGCTTCATGGCCTTGCGTGCAATTGTTGCTGCTGCCTAAGGGAGGACACAGGAATCCTAGTCTGTCACCGAGTGTTGCCACAAAATCCGCAGCAAAAGTAGGTGGTAGCAGACTTTCAGCTCTTCAGGATGATAACAGGAAACCTAATTTCTAAAGGTGACGGAAAGGTGTGGGGACACGTTGACAAAAGGTGTTGGAAATTGAAGACGCAAACACGAAGTCCCCAGCTCCAGGCTGGAGAATCCGAAACAGAGAGAATCTATCCTGGCGAGGCTGATGTCCACGTCCACCGCTGTCAAGGAAGCCTGGCGAGGCCGGGAGACAGTTCCTCAGTCAAGTGTCTGCAGCACGTGGAGGATGAGAGTCAGCACTGCAGAAGCCCACGGAACGCAGGGCAGACAGCAGCACGGGGGCTCCCGACCTCCGCAGGCTCACAGGCTCCACAGAGCAAGCTCCGGGTTTAGCTGAGACCTGTCTCAACGACTAAGGTTCAAGGCCAACGAGAGGGAGACGCCAGAACCAAGCTCTGGCCTCCAAGGCAGGTGCACAGGTGCCATTTGCCTGTGCACCTTCGAACATGCAAACCGCGCCTACACATGGGGAAATTAGGGAGACCAGCATAACCAACATCCACAAGCCTAAGACCTTAACACAGCTCTCATCAAAACCAAACACGTTTGTGCAAGCCTCAAAATCGGTAACAGGACAGGGAGACCAGCCAAGAGA